AACTAAAAGCTCCAGGGGTATTGAGACTGTCTTTTGGCACTGCTCTTTTTCACAGAACACAGAACTTCACTCTCAAATGGCTGGTATTTGCAGTGTGGTGCAAACGGCTCTAGGGAGCATTGCGCCTTGCTGTTCATTAGGTGAGCATACCTGCTTCCTCTCAGCTCCAGCCTCTGGAGAGAAGCCTTTGACTGGCTTGCCTTTGATACATGCCTCACTTGAAAACCAGGCACTCTGACTAGGGGGATACTGTGTATTGTTGGGTCAGGGCTGGGTCCTCTGTTCCCCTTGGAACCAAAGTAAGAAATCCTTCCAGCCCAGATAAAAAAGGAAATGGAGAAGGGGTCATTTGAGAAGGATTTTTCTCAGGCAAAAATTGTAGTCTACTAAACAGTGGCGAAAAAAATTGAAAGCACTCTTGGTAAACTGTATTGGGCATAAGAGGAATTAGTTAGTTTGAGGGCTTCAGGAAAGGTCAGTTGCATTTGGAAGGCAGGAAACTGTCCTGACCTTTACTAAAAAGTAATGGTAGAAATCAAATGCCACGGTCTTAAGTTGTACTTGGTCCAATACCAACTTTGAATACCACACCTTCACCTGCTTGTTGGTGAATGGAAGAAAGGTGACGGTCATTTGGGAACCTAACAGGGTATGAGGAAGGTGCTCCAGGGGTGGCAGTGACTGGGAATATTTGAAAACCAAGGAGAACTTTTTAGTAGGAAGGAAAAGAAGGGATGAGAGAGGCAGAACTGACCAAATAGGTCCTGGAGCCAGTAGGAGAAGTACAGTTGAAAAGCCCAAGTGGAGTAAACATAGAAAGTTTCTTCAAGATTTTACATATACACAGTGAGTTGTGGCTTTTGTTTACTTTGGCCTTTGTCACTTATTTGGAATAGACAGGTATCCTTCCTTCTAGTGTGGCAATGAAATGTATTCACAGATCTCCTACCTCTTGGCTGTGCAGTTGACAAAGCCTTAGAGTGTGGGCACTTGAGGTATGGAGCCCAGAGTAACACTGTCAGCATCACCTGGGAATCACAGGGAAAACAAGTTCTGGGGACCACATCAGACTTTCCAAGTCACAAATCCATGGCTTCATGAATTTGACCCTGTTTCTGATGCCAGTTCCATCCCGTCTCACCTTCATGGAGAAGGAAGTTTCTATGATTGTGGTTTTGGAAAAGCTGTGAGAATCAGAAATCTTGGCTCCCGTGATAAGCCAGTGGAAGGCGGGTATAAGAGCAGGAACAGCAGGAGTTAGGAGGCAGAAGGCACTGCTAACTGCAAATGGAATGACCTGGAGGATTAGAAAAGAGAGGGTGAGGCTGTAATGCATTCTCAGCTTGGGAAGGGATTTCATTTGGACAAGAGGCGTCATGAACGCTCCAAGTCCCAGAGAGTGGAGAAAGGTAAGAGGGGCTTAAACTATAGGTGCTCCAGAGAGATTCCTCCACCATAAAGATTAAGTCCCAGAACAGGTTGGATATGGCTCGTTTAATTTAAATTCAGCCTCTTCCACTAGACACTGCTGGGTACTTACAAAAGAAGGGCATAGCAAGGTTTCTTTCATCAAGGAGCTTATAAACTTTTTGAGCTTTCAAGACTTAAGTTCAGTGAAGTATAAAAAGACAGCATAACAGAGCATTGAATTGAAAGAGACCAAGGTCAAAAGCAATAGAGGCTATACAGTAGCTGAGCAGTTAGGAAGGAAGCTTGGCATGTGTGTCCTTTTCTCCCCTGACGAGAGGATGAAAACTGGTAGCCTGGCATAATTTCCTGGATGGTACACGTTGGCCACATGAAGTCCCTTTTAGCAGTTTCTCCTGTCTGAGTTTGCTAAAGTTTGTCAAAACTACTAGGCTGCGTCAGAGTCACAGTTTGTATTCTGAGATGTTGCTTTTGGAGCATCGTTAGTATTTTGGTTTGCATGAGAAAATTGTAGGAGAGGCAATGTTTTATCCTGGGCATCCTAAATGTAAAGAGGCTCAAAGAGAAGCGTGGTATATCAGTCAAAGGCAGACTTGCAGACTCGCTCTGTTCATGAAGAGGACATGCAGGAGCCTGCCTGAGGACGCCTTGGTTTTGTAGGATGAAGAATGCAAATTACTGATTTTCCTTAGTGGAAGAATTAAATTGAGCTGGATGTGGGATGAGAGGGAACAAGAAAACACTTTATGTGAACACAGATTTTCCATGACTTTTTATTTCTTTGCATCATGCTGCTCCTCTGGGTAAGGAAACAGATCCCTAAACCAAGGCCTGAAAGAGAATGTTGGTACACGCCTCTGTTCAAGTTGGGCATAAATACTGCAGGAAATAATAACAAATATCCTAGGAAAAGGAAAAGCCAGAAATTTGGAACCTAAATCAAGGTACTATTTTTCTTTCAAAAATTTACATGTAATGTGAGCTGTTTGGAGTGGGTTTTCTTAAGTCCAGCTGTGGCAGGCAGGTGGCACAAAAAAAAAGAGTTGCCTTTCAGTTTCCTGTGATGACATCAGGGTACACGGGGGGCCTTAAGAAGCAGAGTCCTCTTCCTTGCTTCATCCAGTATAGTACCTGCATTGAATGCTGATCCCCAGGCTGAAGCTACTAGTGCTTGTTGCTAGGTAGCGGAGTAATCGGAAGAAGGACTACAGCCAAGGTATTGAGGCCAGTTCTTCTGCTTTCTTCTTGATCCTGGAGACCTTGCTGAGATGATCTCGACCCCTCCCAAAAACTGGAACAACAGGAATTAGTTGTAGATCTGACCAGCTGCTCTACTGGCTGCTGCCTTGGAAACCTGATACCCACTAACTGCTCCCTTCCACTTTCTTACTTGTTGCTTTTGTAAAAGAAGGTGGTCCTGTTAGGATTCTAAGTCAAAGTGTTTATTTTTCTTTTGTTCTGCCCATCTGGTTTTGAAATGTCATACGCAGGCTGAAAATTATAAGTGTTGATTTTTTCTTTTAAAGTACCAGTGATGGAACCCTGGAAACATCGAGCTATACCCTAGTCCAGGAGTGGCGAACCTATGACACATGTACTGCAGCTGGCTGTTTGTTGTTATAGAAAGCTCTAGAAGGTTCGCCATTGCTGTCCTTGTCCTTTCTAATTTGAGACAGGCTCTTTCAACATTGTTCAGACTGACTTGGAACTTGTTGAACTTCTTCCCGCCTCAGCTTTCTGAGTTTGTTGGGATTACAGACATGTGCCACCGTGCTAGGCCATGAATCGTTAATGTCTGTCCCTCTTAAGGAGCCTCTGGAGAGCAGGATCCCTCACTGACAATTCACCATTATGAGCCCCCGTTCAGCAACTGGGTGAACATAGTAGTAATAAGTAAAACTTATTTTTCAGTGAATGAATTGATGAGAGAGCACTTGGCAAACTGGATTCACTATAAAATGATTAGATATACAGGAAGTGGGCACTTCCTCCTGTCCTAATTTTGTCTTTTTTAAAATTGCTTTTTGTTGTTGTTAACTTTGAGCTACACTGATCAGTGTTTTGCCAAATCCAGACCAAAGATTTGATGTCATTCACTGTTAATGCTTTTTTTTGAGTGAGTGAGAGAGAGAGAGAGAGAGAGAGAGAGAGAGAGAGAGAGAGAGAGAGAGAGATTTTTCTTGTGGAAATCTCACTTGGCACACCCACAACGCCAATACCACAGCTCCCCCCTGTGTGTAGTGAGTGGGCACTCATGACTGAAAGGAAAGCCTGACGGCCCTTTTGGCTGACTGCGGTAGAAGCAAGTGGCTGCTTGGTGCAGCCCTTGGAGTGTGTGGCTTCTGTCCTTCCCCAAAGCTGCTCTCTTGGCTTCCTGACCCTCAGATGTGCTCCTCAAGGGTGTGCGAGCCAGAATCCCTTGATGATTCTTGACAGCTATTCTGGGTTTGTCTTGGGGCGGGGGTGGAGGGGTGAAAATCAAAGCCAGGTGTGGAAAATATTCATAATGAGCCTAAGCATCAGTCTTTTCACTAAATGCAACAAACAAACAAAGCACATCCAGTCGTTTTCCAGGGGGGCCCCTGGTATGCCATCTCTTTGTGAGTGTTGTCGCTGGTGGGTGGAAGTGGCGAAGAGCCAAGTGGAAAATTTCACAGCCCTGCAAACACTGAGTGTGCAGAGTACTGGCAGCCCACAATCCGAGGGAGCTGCTTGGCAGGTGCCAAGTGCCCACGCTCCAGGCCGCTGGTGCCTACCTTACACGCTCTCGTCTCCCTAGCTTCCGGGTCCCTGCCATCCCCTCCTTTCTCTCAGGGGCTTCATATGTCTTGGTTCAGTTCTGTTCCCCACCCCACACCCAGGCACAGCAAGCCAGGCAGACCTCTTGGGGCCCCAGGAGTGCCGACTACTGGTCCCTCGCCAAAGCTGGCTATATATTCTGGCTCTGAGCTCAGTAACAAGCTTGTGGCCACTAATAATACTCTGCATTTACATAGTGCCTGCCTTCTTGGGAACTGTCAGTGCTTTGTAAAAGTGACCTTATTGATCAGACGACTGAGGTGTACAAGTGGCCAAAGGTGCTGGTCCTCATTCCCTTGTATGGAAAATGAAATCAAAGGGCTTGGCCTTTTGTTTGTCTTTGTGAACCTGGGGACAGAACCCTGGGGACGGGGGCTGCTCATGCTGTATCACTGAGCTACACCTCCAGCCCTCGGTGGCTTGAGGCTGTTTTGCATATTTTCATTTCAGCCTGAATTTGTATCTGAAGTTTTCCAGAATTGGCGTCAATTTTACAGAGGAAGGAAGAAAAAAGAAAGAAAGAAAGAAAGAAAGAAAGAAAGAAAGAAAGAAAGAAGAAAAAAAGAAAAAGAAAAAGTTGATTGTGCTATGTCCCCTGGGCCAGGGGCGGGTGGTTAGGAGAAATACTGAATTTCATTTTCAGGACAGGATACTGAGTCAAGAAGTGGCCTTTGGTGGACTGTCAGCCTAAATACTCATTGACTTTGTTGGAGATAAGGGATTTGTAATGCGTGTATTTCTTTCTTTCTTTTCCCCCCCTGTTCCCATGCTAGGTATTTCTCACTTGTCAGTGAAGAGAAGGAAGAGCACGTCTGAGCGCAGGCGTCCTGCAGCTTCTGTGAGAAGTCTCCATGGTGAACTATAGGCCGCGGCTCCCTGGGAACGGCGCGCAGTGAATGCTGTAAGTTGCCAGCATCCGCAGGGGCCTGCCTGGTACGATCTGTGACTCACCGGCTGGACCAGCCGCGCCTGGGGGATGAAGGGGCATTAGCGCGAGCTCGCGGTGACCGGCCAATTAATTCCTTTTCCTAGAAGCGGTTCTGTTTGTATTTGCCGTGAACCTGCCTTTCTCAGCTTCTGCAGAGCTCTGCTTAGTGTAGACCTCTGGAATCAAAGATTGAAATGTGCTCGTCCCGCTGCCGCTGGAGATGGGACTGTTGCCGCCATAGCAAACGTAGAACCGACTCTTTAGAAGGGGCGACTGCTGCTCTTTTAGGCTGGTGAATAGGTTGAGGATCAGTACTGACATTTCTGCTCAAATGTTGTTATGTGAAGTTTTAAACGGGAGTGGCACTGTTGTGTGTTTTCTTTTTCCTTCCCAGTGTTCAAAATCTTAAGGTACAGAAGCATACACAGTTCTTTTGAGCACTTCTCTTATTCAAGATTAGCCAATTGGACCGGCCAGGTAGCTCAGAGCACTAAAGCGCCTGCTTAGGCAGACACAAGGACCGGGGTTCCATCCCCAGCATGCTGTGCCAGCCCTGTCCCCAGGGCGTGCTGAGATGGCAACTAAGATTGGGCATAGTGGCGCGCACCTCTAATCCCAGTGCTTGGGAGGCTGAAAACAGGAGAATCCCTACGAGTTTGATCTGTGTTATGGGACCCTGTACTAAATACATTTTAAAAAATTAGCCAATTAAGTAACTATCTTTTACCTGTTACGAGGTTAGGATTTTGACATTTGCCAAGTAAGTAGGACTATGGGCTTGCGAGTGGTTCCTGGGAAGTTTTGGTGTCACGCGATTGACAAGATGGCCAAGCACAAGCCTCCAGGAGGTGGGTGGCTGCGAAGCTTGTGGATCTGACCAGCTCTGCTACTTTTTAGAGAACTTTTTTTTTTTTTTTTTTTTTGTCTGCCTGACTGCTGGATTGTGTTTTGGAAAAAAACTTCTGATGAATCTTGTCTAGGAAAGGTGTCACTACAGGAAACGCAGTGTGGTCATTGAACACCTCTCAGGAAAAGGAAATACTATTCCCTTCAAATTTTAGAAGATGAAGGGTCAACATGAGCTAGGTGGCATGTGTATGTGTGTGTGTACGTATTTTATTCACTATGTCTATATAAGGTTTTGACTTCTATGAGAGTACTTTTCCAGTTGTGTATCACCTCCTTTTATGCAGTTGTCCAAAAAATTTAAAAGGTAGATTATACTCAAGAAAAAAAAAAAAAAAAAAAGGTGGGCATGGAAAAGAGAAATTTCCACTGAAATTTTATTTCATGGATTTTAAAAGTTTGTATTAGAATACACACATGTATCCATATTGCCTACAGGTAACATAGTAGTATTAAATGAACTTACTTAAAATTTCTCACAGCCTCGTATCACACAGTGGCAGATCTAATGCATTTGCATCCTGAACCTTTGACCGTATGGGCTCGGAAGTGCACAGCCCCTCACATCAGCGGGCCTGAATTTTATTGCTGGTCTGACCATAAGGTCAGATATATTCACAACATTGGACAAATCACAAATGTCCCCAGAGTGGTATTTGATTAGTTTGTACATCGCTGCATACACCTATTTCCCAAGCAGACAACAGTTTGGCTTCGGGTCCCCGTAACGGGCAGAATATTGTGTGAGCACTTTAAATCTTACTAAAAATGATCTCTTCTTATAAAATTCATCACCATCAATGAATAACCTGGGGCCTTAATTGATTTGGGTGTTAGGCATTTTGCTGGAGATACTGTTCCTCATCAGGTAACTTGTTGGAAGAGCGCTATATCTTAAGGCAGTCTCACCCTGAAAAGCTAATGTCTTACAGAAAACTGTTTTGGGTGCAGGCACCGTTACTATAATCATCCTGAGTTTTGGTTTCAAATCTGCTGGTAGAGTTTTTTTTTTTTTTTTTTTTTTTTTTTTTTTTTTTTTTTTTTTAATGGCTGCTTTGAAATGCCAATGTCAGACATCAGAAGTTACGTGAGGTTTTCAGAAGTTCTGAAGGATAAACTTAAAGATGCCACGTGGCAGAGTTCAAGTAATTACAAAATCCTTCTAGAAGTGGAGTGTGTTGAGAGAAAGAAAGAAAATACCAAATTGCAGTGGGCTCCAAAAGTGCTTTGCTTGAGATGGGAGGGGCCGGGCCTGCCAGTTTCTTCCTACGCTGTACTATCAGTCACGTCTCCGGATCTCGACACATTTTTACAACAGTGTTTACCCTGGTTTCTGCATCTTGGTGCTTCAGGGCTGGTGCTGGGGGGTGGCGGTGTACTAGGGAAGGCAGAGACTTTTGCAGCGTATGTGTGTGCGCATAGATGGCGTGGGGTGGGGGGTGAGTGAGCGTGTGAGTAATGATCGTAGCAGCCATGGGGGTGAGCGGCACTGTCCTCGGGAGGCAACCCAAGCACGTTACTCACTGCATTGACTCCTCTGTGTCTTATTAACTGCCTCTTGGATCTGTCACCATCTCTCTAACAGATGGCCTCTGCCCCTCAGTGTCTGAGACTGGCTCTAAGAAGTACTAGCTTGTACAAGAGAGGAGTGGCAGTGAATGCTGAATGAAGAGCCCGGAGAGCTGGGCTTCCCACATAGGGCAGCACTTAGCTGTGTACCCCTGGGCCTGCAACCCTAGGGATTACCCTGGGATAGGCAGACTGAGGCACGTGAGGTCAGGGACCTACAGTGATTCTTTAATCATGTGATACTCCGAGGTGCAAATCTCCCATGAGACAGATTGGGTTTTCATTGTTATGCTTCAAATCCAAACTGTTCCCCACGAGTCTTCTGTGTTCAGAGGCGGGGCCTGGTTGCAGGAGGTGGTCACTGGGCATGGGACCCAGAAGAGTGTCCTTGTCCTTGGCTTCTCTCTTTGTTCTGTCTCTCTGCTTCCTTGAGCAGTGTCCTGTACCAGACCCTGGACCCATGCTGATCCTGCATGGAGGCAGCCAATGTGACAGAACTAAACTCTCTGAAACCATAAGTCAAAATAAGCCCCTCTGTCTTTGCAATTGAGGGTGTCAAGTTTTTTGCTCCTCAAATGGGAAAGTGACTAATACCCATCGTTGACCCTGAAAATCAGTGATTCTGCACAGCCTCATTTACAATTGCTTTAATATGTGAAGGGTACCCTATGGTAAAAAAGAAAAATTACAGCTGTCACCCATGGAATGCTTTCCAGAAGACCCTCCCAGGATCTATGTGATAATTCAGAAGGTATCTATTTGAAAGCCTCCTGATAATATAGTTTTAGTCACATATATTTAGGGCCCACACCCATTAGCCATGTTGAAATATGAAAGAGGAGCCATCTTGGTTTTATTTTGCAGTACTGGAGATCAAGCCCAGGGCCCTGCCCATGGTAGGCAGGAACCCCATTGCTGAGTTATGCTACCACCCAGGAGCCACTTGGAAACTTAGCTTTTGTAAAACTTCCTCTGATACTGTTTAGTAGCTGACCCAGAAGCTCATGATCTATATTTTTTGTTTAAGCTTCTCTGCTGCCCTAAGTGGGACTTCTCAAATATTGTGGTTTGTGTCTAGATGTCCTCGAAAATTCTCATGCAGTGCTGGGTGCTTCCTGTTCAGAAGTGGCTGGATCTAGCATGTGTGACATTGGTATTAATTCGAGGTGCACTGCTAGGATCCAGGGTGCTAGGATTAAGGGTGTGAATGCTACTTATCCTCAGTAGCCCGGAAAAGATAGAAGGGATAGAAGAGCTGTAGTCACCCCTTTCTTGTTTTGCTAGCTTCAATCTACTATGACGTGTCTCTCTTTTTCATTTCATTTTATTTTTTTGTACTGAGAATCAAACTTGGGACCTTATGCTTGCCAGGTGGGCACTTGTGCCACTGAGCTATATCCCCAGCTTCTCTTCTTTGATGCCTGCCTGCTATCCACACTGCCTGAGTGAAAGCCTTCACTACATGATTGGCTGGTTCCATTGAGTATGAGCTAAATAAACCTTTTCTTTTTTAACTGCAGGGCTCAGGTACTCTGTCTCAGCAATGAGAAAAGTAATGAAGACACCAAGTTGCCCTGTCAAAGCAGCATAGGCTGCTCTGTGGGAGGTGGCATTCACCCCACTCCTCTCCAATCCTGTAGCCTTTTTCCTTTTAAGTACTTCACAGGTCATCTGCTTCTTTGTTAGTTATCAGTCTCCAAAATGGACTGTGTGCACCACAAGAGCAGGGATGGCTTGGATTATTCCCTAGGGAATCCCAGCATCTGAAGTCTCGCTTGGCCCTGGCAGGCTCTGGGTGGGTACGCATTCCTTGAGGAACTGTCCCTAGGCTTCTCCTGTGTGGGGCTCAATGGTGAGGAACAGGAACGTGAAGTCCAGCCTGGTGTGAGGGTTGTTTGAACCTGACAGCAGCTTGAAAGGATAAAGAATGCCTCAGAGAGTGTGGTCTGTTCTGTTTTCCTTAGAAGTAAATGCTAAATGTCTCTCCTGTGTAAGTAAATGTGAAGGAGAACACCATTTGTTTAAAGAAGTTTTATAGTGCTATCAATAGAGTTTGGGGATTTTCTGATACTTTTTAAAACAAAATTCTGCACTGTGCATTTCCTCCTCTTTTCATCTGAGTGGTTTGTGGTTTGTTTGTGAGAAGAGCAGGGGTGTTCTGAGGATGGGGTGCTTTTGTCTCTTATTCTTTTGTGACTATTTGTATTCCCGCTTTGTCCCAAAGTAGGGCTGCAGAAACAGACCAGCACGCAGCTGGGTGGCTGCCATCCGAGCACAACTAAAAATGGAGAAATGGTGCACAGGTACAAAAGAAGCCCAACTCTGCAGGGTGGTGCAGAGGGAAGTGGGCAAAAGCCTTGGTAGGGCAGCATTACGCCGTGGCGCTCCTGGGGATGGTGACAGTAGTGTGCTGGGAATTTGGTGCGCTTCTTGGCCCTCTTTGCAGTGTAACTGCCCTGAGTGCAGGAGGTAGGTTATCCCCAGGAAGAAATAGATGA